CTTCCTGCTCCTCTGATGCTGCTTGGCCTGCTGTGTTCATCCAGCTCTACACCTTGTTATCTCAGATTCTCCAGCATTGGCAGTTCCTACTACCTCAAATAACACTCCAGGTAACAGGTGCGGGTATTCCACATCTAATTGTTTGTGAGCAGCAGATTTAACAATCAACAGGGCCCAAACCTTGTAACTTTAATCATGCAGCAGAATAATTTGTAGTCCAAACAATACAGAAAGAAGCCCAGCAGAGCTTTAAGTGGATGCTGAAGGACTCTATAAATAAATTGAGCTGCATAGCTCAAGACCCTGAACTCTTCAATTGCAAAATATTCCAGTATCTATTGTTACAGACTTTGCAAAATGGCTATAAAACATCAGGATATGAAGATGCATAAAGGTCATATACATATGTTTTCAATGGAGGTGAATGTTATTTTGCAAAATGATTTGATTATCACAAATGTGTGGACTATTGGAACCATATGAATACTGGAATAACCATCTCGGGCTAAACACTGCTTACAGGAGTCTTCAGATGTACAACAATGCAGCTAGAACCTCTCTATCAATTCAATACTGAAAAAAGATTTTTGATTTTCATCAGTTAGAGGGACAGTGGCCAGCTCTTGTTTCATTGATGTTGATGGAGGGGCTCTTGTGGTGCATTGGTAATATCTCTATCTCTGAGCCAGGATACCCAAGTTTAAGCACCTCCTTCTCCAGAGGTAAGTCATCACACATTTGAACAAGTTGCTTGAAAATATCTTAGTGTTAACGGAGCAGACATAGAGCCTAAAAAACTGATTAACATAACTGAACAGCCCTCTGTGAGTATTAGAGGAATTGTAGGAAAATTCAAATTATTGCAATTTTATTGAGGGAAACTGGCTTATTATGAAGTTCTAGAAATTCAAAGACACATCGTGAAGGCTACAATCACAGAATTGAAAAATACAATATAATGGTTCAAATAAAACTAGATGTTAATGGAGCCCATTCTTCTCCAGTCAATAGGTGTAAAATTCTATCCGAAGGCTACAAAGGTTTCTATACTTGCTTTGAAATGCTTTCTGTTTGAGAAATGAAATTTTAAAAATACTCTTACATCCAAACATCCAAACATTGAAAACTTCAGACTGTTCTTTGTACTTAACCTTACTTTGTAAACTTTTTTTAGTCTTAAGAGCTTTAATTTCAATGATTTCCAGTTCACTTCATGTCTAGCCTTTCTGCAGGCTTACATAGACTGCATTCTTAATAACATTACATTAGTCTTGTCAGAAAACAATTTGCATGCACTTTGAAAAATCACAGACTACAATCTGGAATAGAATTCAAAATGAGGGAAGAAAGCAAAACCTTAGTGTTCAAATGATTATTGGGTATTAGTTGTGTGCATACAGCATCTAAAGATATATTTGTTATTTGAATTTTAATCAATATACTGTGTTTTGCAACACCTTGAGGCTTTTATCTACTTTACCAAACAGTATGAGGTGCTGTTACACAGTAAATAAATATTAATGAGCCATTTCAATGTATTTTTAATACTGGATTTTTAACAGTTGTTAGGAAAGAAATTGCCTCACATATCAGGAATATACATAGTGAAGAAACACAAGATGAACTACACCCCTTTTTAATCAAATATACTTTAAGTTAAATTCAAAAGAACAAAACTAATGTATTTTAGATCATGCAACAATTATTTAGTTCTTAGAGACTTGGTGGTGCACTAATGGTTATTTATGAAGTACAATTCATCATACGTCAGTTATTACATTCATACAGATGTCTTCTTCATAACAGCAAGATTCTCTTTCTCGGATAGCCGTCAGCTAATTCATCACAAACAAAGAATTGGATCTCGAACCTTCTTTGTTTCCAAACATATAATTCATTATGTTGTATGGTCAGATATATAATCCATGAGGTCTTCAATCATTATGGAATGCGAGCCTGTTAAGAAATGTGAGTTGTAAAAATTCTAATGTCACATAGGTACCATATATGTCAGCAGATAGACACCCACCTTCAATATTTCAACATCTGTTCTCCTTGTTATGGATTGGAAAACATTGTATCTGTCCTCCACTGGGCTTTATGCTTCCGTGTAGGTTTAATGTGCCGACTCTTCTGTGGATAGCCCCTGTTCCCTAAGGAGTCACCATTGCATTTGCTGAGCAGAGAAAACAGTTGTGGCACCTGAGAGTGAGTTAGGATTCAACAATCATTACAGCTCCCTAAGAAGTGACCACAAAGTTACAGGATTTATTTGCAGTTATCACAGATCAGCTGCACATTGAGAAAGTGAAATCAGTTTTGGCTTATGATGGCCGCTGGCTGATGGGGAGCGTGCAGTTCACCATGTACATCACCATCTGGCCCTTGTACCTGTGGAAATCCACCACTAGCTCTGCAGCTCACAACATTCGTTGTTTCACTCCCAGAAGCTGTGGTGAATTGCACATATTCATTGGCTTTTGTGAATAGGGCATTGGCATCATAGAAACATTAAAACAAAAACGGAGTAGGCCATTCAGCCATACAAGCCTATGCTGATCTTCAATAAGATCATGGCTGATCACCTAAATTAGTACCCTGTTCCTGTTTTCTCCCCATACCTTTCATCCCTTTAGCCCTAAGTAGTATATCTAGCAAATGACTGTCCCTTGAAGTATTCATAATGCACCCCAATAATATAGTTGAGATATTTTTACTTCAACTTGTCCGGACGTATTATGACATGTGTTCGAGTTATATGAGACTTCAACTCAGACCTTCTGGTCTAAAGGTTGGAACACTACCACTGTGCCACAACAGCAGTTTGTTTGACCTCCTGGATACATGGGTGAGTGTCTGACTATGAGTTGCCTCAAGTCACTAGTACAGTCCTGGAATGATCCGATGGTGCAGAAATTCAATGGTGTGGTGAATTAATGAATGGCATTGACCTGTCTCTCTGTCCTCAGTAACTTAGGTCATCCTAAAGCAGCTGACCTCAGTGAGAAAAGAATCACATAACATTCTCAGCCATTTCTAACATTTCCAGGTAGTTACTCCACCTGGGGTATATTCGATTATGCACCAATGTTCGCTGGACTTTGGATGCCATCATTCTTAGCCTCCTGATCCCCTCTGTCTTTGTTGATTTCTGGCCATCTTTGAACCTGGCTCCAGGCCATTCTCTGCTGCTTCTTCTCCAGACACGCCAAACCTGGCAGAAACATTGGGTGCATGAGCCATCTTGTCTGCCTGAAGAGGAGGATAAAGGAGGAGCAGAAGGAAGTGGCAAGCAACACGTCACCCTGCCAACTGAACTGTGAGTGATCAGCTCATCTGACTGCACTCCTAGCAAAGACAGCTACTAAACCCATTCACCAACATTCCCACAGAGTACCTTCTCATCTCCCAGTCACCAACACAGCACCCACTTGACTGCAATGCCAGAAAAAGGTCACCACCAAACAAACGTTCCAACCCAACTTTAATCAACTTTATGGATGTCTGTCTTTAGTGGCCGTGTTCTGTGGGCCTTTGCCTGACCTACTGTTCCCACATGTTGCAGCCTCAGTAACTGCACTATAACTGACGGCTGCTGACTTTCAGTGGAAGAAACTGCAGATGAAATTGCAGGATGATCTCAAGTGGCTCTAGCCCTGGAAGACTGGGTTCTGGACTATACTACATCAGCATTGGTGGCAGCAGTCTAGGCTGATTGGCTGATGGCCAACATCAAGGAAACTCTCAGGCGAGGTAGTGGTGGGAGGATGAAGACTGTCATCCTGAGAGAGATCAGCAAATTCATGCTCCACACAGCCACTAGTTGATGAGTCAGCATTCCCAGCATTGTGTTGGAAGATGGATTCCTGGACTGCAGCGAGATTCAGAAACCTTCTTTATGACATCTGTAGCCAGAGCATCTTTGGCAATACATTCCTTCTTGATTCAATCTCTAGGGTGACCATGAACTTTCAAAAGAAATTCAAACACCCAGTTATTAACTGAAAGAATCCTGTCTCATGATTTCATGTTTTATCGTTAAAGAAAGGAAAGTCACCAGAGTCCCAGATGACTATTGGGCTGCTCTCTCATTAGAGAGACAACTCGTGGTGGTTTGACCTGAGGGTCATCACACCTCAGACGAGGGAGGGTTTGAAAAGGAGGGACCTTCATGATAACCTCAGTCAATGCGGGAATGGAACTCCCAATGTTGATGCCAAACTTCCATGGCAAACCAGCCGTCCAGTCAACTGAGGCAACTAAACCCCATTTTATACAGAACCCTTGACTATACAAGAATTACACAAAGATTATCAACGTAACATTGTTTTTCTTAAACACAGGTTTTACAACCAAAATTCTCACTAGTACACTTCCAATTCTAATCTTGCTTCCAGCTAAGAGTTTCCAAATATATTACGGGTTCTTGCAGATTCCTCAAATTTCCTGGAACCAATTTCAAGATGTATCATAGGTCTCAGGAATTCCCCTTAATTCGCCACAGTGTTCCCACCATTCTCTAAGTTACATGATTTCTTGGGAACCCGTACACTTCCATTCGGCCAAGCGATCTTTCAACTCTCTTCAAGCATCTCACAACTATAGAGTCATAGAATCATACAGCACGGAAACCAACTGTGTCGGTCCAACTCATCCATGCAGAGCAGGTTTCATAAACTGAACTATTCCAACTTGACTGCATTGGACTCAAATCCCTTCAAAACTTTCCTATTCATGTGCCCATCCAAATGGCTAAATAGGTAGTCGCAAGGACTTTAAACTAGCTCAAGGAGGGTGGGGCTCGGGAGAGGTTATTAGGGTTTTCAGAACAAGTAATAGGACAGAGAGTGTGGAAAGGGTCATGAATCTAACTTCAGGCACAACAGATAAGGCAGCAACTATGTGAAGGGGACAGTCATTGCAGATCTGAGGCTGTTGTATGTAAATACACACAGTATACGAAACAAGATAAATGAGTTTGTACTGCAGGTTGAAATTGGCAGGTACGATGTTGTGGTATCACAGAGACATGACTGCAAGCGGATCAGGGCTGGGAACAAAATTTCCAAGGATACATGCCCTATTGGAAGGACAGGCAGATGGCCGGGGGTGGGGTGGGGTGGGGTGGGGGTGGGGGGCGGTGGCGGGCGTTGCCTCGTTAGTAAGCAATGAAATGAAATCGATAGCAAGAAGTGATATAAAGTCGGAAGGTGTAGAATCTGTAGGTAGTGTTGAGGAACTGCAAAGGAAAACAAAACCCTGAAGAGTTTGTTTTAGGTATATAAAAGAGAGATGCAGGAGTGAACATTGCACTGCTGGAAAATGAGACTGGAGAAGTAGCAGTGAGGAATAAAGAAATGGCGGAGGAACCAAATAGGTTTGGTTTACTTTATAGGAAGACACAACTTCAAGAGAGTCAGGGGGCAGAGGTTAGTGTAGCAGCCATCACTGAGGAGAAGGTGCTGGGGAAGCTGAAAGTTCTGAAGGTGGATAAACCACCTGGACTACATGGACTATTCCAGAGTTCTGAAGGAGAGCTGAGGAGATTGTAGCGGCATTAGCGGTGATCTTTCAGGAATCACTGAAGTCATGGAGGGTCCAAGAGGACTGGAAAGTGGGTAATGTAACACCCTTTTTTTAATGAAGGTACGCAGAAGACAGGGCTGGCAGAAGGCAGAGAGTAGGAGAACAAGGGGTCTTTTTCAGGGCGGCATTAAGGGACTAGCACAGTTCCACAGGGGTCAGCACTGGAACACAACTATTCAGGTTATACATTAATGGTCTGTTCAAAAGAACCGAGGGCATTGTTGCTAAATTTGCAGGTGACACAAAGAATAGGTGGAAGGACATTAGTATTGATGAAGCAGGGAGGCTGTAGGAGGACTGGGACAGGCTAGGAGAGTTGGCAAAGAGGCTGTAGATGGAAGACAATGTGGGAAAGTGTGAGGTTATGCACTTTGGTAAGAGGAATAGAGCTGTTGACTATTTTCTAAATGGGCAAAGGCTTTAGAAATCTGAAGCACAAAGGAACTTAAAAGTTCTTGTTCAAGATTTTAAGGTTACCATATAGGTTCTGTTAGCAGTTAGGAAGGCAAATGCAACGATAGCATTCATTTTGTGACGGCTAGAATACAAGAACAGGGACGTACTGCTGAGGTTGTATAAGGTTCTGGTCAGACTGTATTTGGAATACTGTGAGCAGTTTTGGGCCCAGTATCTCAGGAATTAAGTGCTGGCTTTGGACGGAGGGGGTGTCCTGACAGTTTCACAAGAATGATCCCGGGGAGGAAGGGCTTCCCATATGAGGAGTGGTTGTGCATTGTCTGTATTCAATGGAGTTTAGAAAGATAGCGGGGTTATATCATTGAAACTTACAGAATACTGAGAGACCTGGATATAATGGAAGTGGGCAAGATGTTTCCACTGGAGAGAGTTAGGACCCAAGGGTAGAGCCTCAGAGCGATGGGACGACCCTTTAGAGCTGAGATGAGGAGGAATTTTTGCAGCCAGGTGGTGGTGAACCTGTGGAACTTATTGCAGCCGAGGGCTGTGGAGGCCAACTCATTGACACAGAGGTAGATAGGTTCTTGATTAGTAAGGGGATCAAAGATAGTGGGGAGAAAATAGGACAATGGAGTTGAGAAACATATCAGCCATGATCGAATACAGAGCAGACTCAGTGGGCCCAGGGCCTAATTCTGCTCCTTAAGGTCAGTTTAGTCATACATGATTGGGCCTTTAACAAACCTATGCCAATTCACAATGCATTTTGACTGAATCTGTCATTATTTCATGATTGGCACTTAATTCAAGTAATAAACTGAGAATGTATTAAAAATTATTGTATTCAATATCTCAGTTGATGTGCAATCAGCACAATACTTATAAAATCATACCAGACACTGCAGAGTATAAGGCAATGCCATTTTTGAATGGCAACAATCATGTTTCACCCTATATTAAGCTGAAGTGTAGAATTTCTTAGCAAAAAAGGGATTAAGAGTTGGCCTCAAAAAGCCTCACTCCTTCACCAACAAATGCACATTTTACTCACCAGATCAGTTAGCACATGGGATTAAGCAGGTGGTAAGGACCATGTTGCCAAGAAGATGCATGGCAGTTTGAGACCTGCCGACATGGAGTAGACTGTGCATGGTGGACCATGAACACAAGTGGGTAAGCCCTTCAAAAAACATTATGAA